TGCTGCCGGGGCCGTTGTCGCCATCGCGCTTATCTTCATGAAATCCGGGGATCATATTGTTGCACGCAAGATTGATGTTCCCAACACCATTTTGCAGTTCGACTACGTACGCCCCGACATATTGTTGCTGCGAACTGTTGCAAAGAACATCATTATGTGGGAGGAAATAAACCCAACATTTGAGTGGATACAAGATGCGCTGCCTGCTGCATACAGGCCCAAGTCGCGTCTTACAAACGTATCAAAGCTCGACAGTAAGGATATGCCTTTCTTCTCCATTCTAGCTGGCCTCTGCTTCGCACTAGGTCTGCGCTTTGCTGGCTCGGCCAATACCAAAGTGCGCGATTTGCTCGTGCACTACCTGGAGGAGTTCATGCGTATTGTGCGAGCCCCGGCCGGTAACTTCGACAGCGAAGTGACTCGAGGGAATGCGCGCATGTGCATGGACACGGTGGCATTGTCGTGTGCGACTGTGATGGCAGGCACGGGAGATCTTGTTATGCTTCGGCGACTGCGCGCACTGCACGGCCGAGACGATCCCAACACAACATATGGGAGCCATCTCGCTGCTCACCTCGCTATCGGTGCCCTGTTTCTCGGCTGTGGTACGGCCACATTCAGCACCAGCAACCTCGCCATTGCGGCTCTCATGATTTCGTTTTACCCGCTATTCCCGGCAAGTGTACAAGATAACCGATCGCATCTCCAGGCATTCCGGCACTTCTGGGTTCTAGCAACAGACCCTCGCTGTCTCGTGGCCAGGGATCTTGTCACCGGCCAGCCCCTTAACGTTCCTGTGCTCATAGAATTGAAGCCGAACTCTCCCACCGCCGTTGCCACTGTCGGCAACACGGCCTCATCTTCAACATCCCGCGAGGCCATCAGCTTCCGAAAACAGACGCCGTGCTTACTTCCTCCTCTCGACGATGTGCGGCGCGTGAGCACTGACGCAAGCTCCATGGGATTCTGGAACATTGTCATTGATCTGGAAAGCTCCCCGCACCTTATTGAAGACTTCCGCAAAAACCAGTCTGTGTACCTCCGTCGTCGACCTGCCCATGACAGCCCGTTCCCAGCCACACTCCGCGCGTTGGGTGGCAGTGATCTCGCCGGGATGAACCCTAGTGCCCGTGATCCGCTAGAGTGGCTCTTCACTTTGGACGCGCTGAAAGATCTCACGCATGCCGAGCGCTCTCTGGTGCTTGACCGTCTTGGCTCTGGCGGGGGCGTTGGCGAGGGAGAAGGAGCGAGCACGGCAGTTGACGCCAGGCTGGTGCTTAGAAGCGGGCTGGAGGGCTGGTCTCGTGATAGGTTGCTGGGACTACGATTTCTGTTTGAGTGGGCAGACCGGCGGTCAATGCTCGTTGACAGGCCTGCTGAGAAGGCGGCTGCCACTGAGTTGTTTGGCCTTGCGGATGATGGCGGCCCAGATGATGGCTCAGTCGCTGCTAGCAATAGCAAACGAGCTAGGAAAGGGAAGGCGAAGGCCGTGGCCAAGACTTCGGAGGCCAAGAAGGGAAGGAAAAAGGTCACTGTGCAGACCAATGCCGAGGACACGGCCGCGAGAGATGCCAAACCTGAAGTAGCAGAAACGGATGTCGGCTGGTGGCTGAAAGACAGCACCATCGAGGAGCTGAAGGGACAGGCCTGGCTGACGGGGAGAGAGGAGTGATGAAGATGTTGCCGAGGGAGTATCTGTCAGGAAAATGAGCTGGTGGGTGTTGGCCCATTGGACTTTTACGTGTATGTACCTAGGGAGGGTGGCTGTCTCTGTGCATAAAGACCGCGATGCGTTATGATGATGTTTTAGCGATATCGTTTGGGAGTTGCTGAGCATTCGGAATTGAAGGGCAAAATGACGGACTTGACGTTTACAGACCGGAGGCGAGGCAAATGAAGTGGTTAGGTTAGTTCTAAGCATTCAACGCTTCTTCACTGTAATTACTGTGTTCTTGACTGCACTGTGATCTTCACTTTACCGGGTGGGAGCACAGTGACCTGTTGAGAAAGCCTTGGTGTCTGTATCTACAGCGGCCTAGTTCTAATTGTCTTGTCCCCCTTTATTGTCCGTCCCCCTTTCCTCCATTACCCCCTATTGCCTTTTCCTTCCCTCCTCCGCCATTCAACTACCCCGTGAGACTCTTAATTCAGCTGATATATATGGTATCGATTATAAACACATTAGCAGTAGCGATTAGGTTAGTTGGGTGCTTCGCAACTTCAGCGCCCCGGTCTGCAACCGGCTGGTTCGTTCATCACTTGGTGTGGTAAATTCCCCAGGTCACAATCAGGTCGTCTGAGATCCTCGCCTCTGTTCGCGTCTTGTCAGCACCACAAAGTGAAACCGGACAAGAGAAAAAGAAAAGAACAAAGAGCCTTACTGCATCCCATCTTCCCCTCGCATCCGATAATCGGCTTGCCGTCGCGGCTGAGGTGCTGGAACTGCTGGACCGAGTCGGTAATCGAGTCGATGACGTCCTGGTTGCCGACGTAGAACGTGTCGAGCCGGCCCGTGATGGAGATGCCCGTGACGCCGAACGCGCACGTGCCGAACTGCGCGATCTCCTTCTGCCACGGGCCGAAGATGGACCACCCGCCGCCGCTGCGGATGTTGGCCGCCAGCTGCATGCAGTCGCGGGCCAGCGGCGACGCGAACGACGTCTGGTCTGTGATGTTGGACTTGCCGCAGTCTTTCTCTGGCTTGTTGTCGTCGGCCCGCCGGAACAGTGGCACGCTGTCGGTTGAGTCGCCGCCGCCGCCGACGACGACGACGACGGGCGCCGGAGTGGCCTGCGCCAGGGCGAGCAGGGCGGACGCCGCGATGGCGAGCCCCAGGAGGCGATGCATCGGAGGCAGTTTACTGCGTGGCTATTATAATAGCGGCGCACGATATCAGGGCTGCAAAAGGCCGAGGCACTGGGATTTGAATCCTAGTCTCCACACAGGGTCCTGCCCCCATGGGCTACGTAGCTATTTCCAGGCTTCGGTCGGCTTTCGGGAAGGTGGTGATCAGGGGGACAGGGGTGGATACGGACGGACGTGGGTGTTCAATTATTATACGTCTTCGGCAGCTCGCAACACGCAGATCTCGATCCGCGGATGGCCATGCTGACGGGGGCCCGAAATCTGGACCCGTGGCCCGTGTATCACGTCGTGCGCCAGAGGGTGGCCCCGGCGCCGGTCGCTGTGCCGTCGCTTGTCGGAAGTTCTGGCCAGCCGGCCCATCCTGCGGCCCCTTTATCTGCGGGGCTCCGCGCTGTCCAAGGACATATATTGCGAGAAGCCTGACGGGAGTTGGAGCGACAATCTTCCAAGACGTTTTTCCGTCTTCGTCCCTCGATGCATCGATCTGACCACTTTGGTCACTTGATCCCGGGTTGCCGAGCCAATTGGGGTCGTTTGTTTAGTCCTGCTGTCAACATCAACAACCAGCAAACACAACACTGCACCAAACGCTCATTTGCAACTATTTCGGCAGCCGTGTTTCGATGTCAAGCCACCACCCACAACTACCACCACCGGATTGTTGCAATGTAGTTTCCTCACAGCTTTGTGACAATCAGCTGATGTTGAGGGTTCATCATTCGTTTCGGTGTTTCAAGCCAGGCTTATGTAAGATTGAACGGCCGCCTTGGCCGGCCACAACTGAGTGGCAGGCCAAGGCTGAGACAGCCTGAGGACGAGACAGGGTAGCTTGTCGTTTTTCAAGTCACGTGTTGTCAGCCAAGTAAAAGTCGGCGAGTTTCGGGGATATCTTTGCAAGCTGTTTTAACAGAGTTGAAGCCTGATTCTTTCTTCATCAGCTCATTCTGGTCGAATTTTGGCCGTCGGTCTCTTTTTGTGAGACAATGTCTCCGTAAATTCGACACAGATAAAGCAAAGACGTGTTAATATTCCAACGAGCTGGACAAGGTCATGCACGACCTTTGAGTTTGCCGTATAGCTAGTTCCCACCACCGTAGTTGCCAAAAAGCGTCAAGCTTTCCAATGCCGTGAAGGAAACCAAATTGCAAAAGAACACCACCACCATGACGCAGCGGGCAAAAAGATAGGGGCCTCCCGGGGATTGAACCCGGGACCTCTCACAGAATTGCTCTGGGGTTTGTACCCTAAGCCTGGTGGAGGCAGTTAGCACAGGGAAATGCTGCAGGTGAAGAAGCTTGTTTGGATTTTTGACTTACGAGAATCATGCCACTAGACCAGCGGCCCTTGGATTTGGTTGAAGGCTGTCCCCCGTATGCTGCGTCTTGAAGGCTTGGCAGCTGCGGTTGTGGACCTTCTCGGCACTCGGCAAGGCCGATGCACAAAGTATCGCGGTTTTGTGGGCGCCACTGGTTCCACTGCGGCCATTAGGGTTTGGTGTTTGCCCCCACCCCTTTCTTTTGTTTTGGTGGCACGTGGGTGGACAGCAGGAATGCGGTGGCCCGGCTGCAGGTCCGGTCAATATCATGAAGAATGGGTACGGTGATGACAGGCCCCCTAATTCTTTGTAGAATGCGGAGATCATCCAATGTCCGAGTTTACCAAGGAGTCTAACCATAACAGTAACTGAGAAGAGATGAAGGAGTGATTGGTTGACTCAAGCAGAACAATAGGCAGTCATTATTTGCACTTGGTCAAGCCATGCTATACACATACCGAGGGTACGAGGGGTACGGAGGACGGAGGACTGTTGACTCTTTGTAGCTCCTGAATATCACTCCTAGAAGATAGAACTAGGTCACTATCTTCATATCATATAATTAACACTACCACTTTCCACAAAGCAATCCGTCGCGTGCTTTTTTAAGGTTCCGATAATTAGATACTCGGCAACAGTCTTAACTCTTCTCTTCGATTTTGCCCTGCAGTGGAACCTATCAACCGACAGCAGACCTCGGCTGTGCGGGTCCAGAGTCGCGGGTTCCCGATCCACCGGGCCCATCGACACTTAATAGAACCACAGATGGATGCTCCCTCTATAACCTTGAGATCCATCCACATACATCAAAATCAGACTAGGGATAATAGTATAGTGGTCAGTACTTCTCGTTGTGGCTGTCACAAAACACCCGAGAGGACCCAGGTTCGATTCCTGGTTATCCCAATCCACAGATTAGGACGATTGGCCCATGCAGCTCGGTTCGTCCGTCCGGTTGAGTTAAATCCGATTCTCTTTTTTGGTCTTGTTCCCACACCGAACTTTTAATTTTTTCCGTCAAGATTCGTTGCCTCGAGATTTTCCTTAAACCATAGAATCCACCTAAGCTTTGCCGCTGGCCTTTGTCGATTCAAAGAAAACCCAGGAGCGCGTTTGTTGGTAACAGAGGCCGCGACGAAGTAAGCCCATGGACGGGGCGGCTAATCAGGCATTACGACGGAGATGGAAGTATTTTGTCTCCGAGGCATGCGAATTTGCTAATAGAGGCAGGGCCGTTCTCTGAGATCTTTGTCAGCCTGGAATAACTCGCCCGGCCGACGGACGGAACTTGACTGCGGTGGAGTTCCGAACTCCGAACTCCGAAGGCTGAGGTAATGCAGCGAGACGTACTACAAGATAATCGTTACAAATGCCACATTGTTAATCAGACTACGTTTTGGTTATGTGGTTGCACTCATTGAATAACTAGGTACTTTCGGCCGGCGTGATTAGAAGATTGTGGTCCGAGCTGGTTGAACGAAGGGAAAGCCAGCACGGGAAACAAGCCCTGGGCCGAGCCATTGTTGGCTTTGATCCCACGCCTCTTACAAATTCGTCCGAATGTTGTTTTGTCCGGCCTGGGCTCTTGGCACATAACTCCACTCAATCATGGACTGCATCCACGCTGTCAAAGTATAAAGATGTCTCGATAGACGGGTACTCACTGCATCTCGCAAGTTTCGCCATTCTGCATTGAATCACCTCAAGTCGGTCGAGTCCCTGACCAAGGCGTTCGCGGGTCAGGATGCCGTCGTGTCGACCATTGGATCGTACCACCTCGACGACCAGCGCGCCATGATCGACGCCGTTGTCGCCGCCGGCGTGAGTCGCTTCCTCCCCTCGGAGTACGGCCACGACACGCGCCGCCTCGACGGCGTCCTGGGGGCGATGCTCGCGGGCAAGGCCGCTATCGCCGACTACGCTGCCGAGCAGGCCAAGACGCACCCGGCGTTTACCTGGACGACGCTCGGCGTGAGAATCTTCTTCGACACGGCCTGTATGCCCGGACTGTCCAATCTCCTTTTTTAGTCATCGACTAACAAACAACCCGCCCCAAAACAGAATGTCGACGCGGGCATCTTTGGCGTCAACCTCAAAGACAAGACAACCGCGCTATACGAATCGGGCGACACGCTCATGACGGTGTCGACGACGGCGTTTATTGGGCGGGCGGTGGCGGCGGTGCTGCAGCACGAGGCCGAGACGGCGAACCGGCACCTGGACGTGTTCGAGTTCCGCGTGTCGCAGAACATGGTGCTGAAGGTCTTTGAGGAGGAGACGGGCGCCAAGTTTGCTGTCAGTCACCGGGACATGGCCGCCGTGGACAGCGAGGTCAAGGCCAAGTTTGCGAAGGGTGATTACAGCATCTTTGTTGATGCCCTGCTGGTGCACAACTTTTGCGATGGCGCTAGTGCTGGGCTCAAGAACGAGCACAGCGCTAATGGCCTGCTTGGGCTTGAGACAAACACGCTCCGGGAGATGGTGAGGGAGTATATCAGGACTCGCAGCTCGTAGGGTGGTCATTTGCGGAAAAGGTAATGAGAAGGGGTTGTGTATTAAGGTGCAACTTGCTGCCGTCTCGCCATTGTCGTTGTTTTGTTTTCAGCTTTACTTATATGTTGAACTGGGATGGAAGCTCGCGTTGTCCGAGCGCCACATTGTGATCGTGAAAAGGAAGGTGAAGATTTGTTGACAACATCTTGAACCAACGACAAGGTGCCAAGTACAGGATAAGATAAAATGAAACTGGTTGGTACGGAAAGTGATCGTAATCTACCGTATTTGGATGTCTATTTTGAGGTGAACCGGAAGGAGCCATCATCTGAAGATGAAGGCTTTAGTTGAGCTCTGGCAGCTCCTGCTGGATTAGACCAGCTTGAGCCTTGCCGAACGTCCTTCGTCAAACGGTAAAAGCGCCCTTTCGTCCAACTGCCTTGTATTTACACTGTTTTACCACAATCTAACTCTACATCCAGTCGCCCGCCTTATCAACAATACATTTTGAACCCCCGCATCTCAACCAAAAATACAACTACATGCGAATCCTCTTACCCGCAAACAGCCCAGCAAATGCCAACACCCTGTACAGCGTGCCAATGGCCGCCAGCACGCCCAGGTTGCGCCACAGGTGATCGAGCGCGAACCCAGAGGCATCAGCCGCCTGCTCAACATCATACAAATAGGCAAAGGGCCCGACGAGCTGACCGAAATAGAGCTCGGCAAGCCAGACGCCCGGGCTGGCGCGCCACAGCCACTCGACATGCCAGCCCTTGACCGTCCTGAGCGGCGGCGCGGCGCCCGACAAGATCCCGACAATGAGACTCAGCATGGTCGCGAACAGCGGCGCGTCCTCGCGGCGCACGACCATGCTCACCACACTGGCGAGCCCGTACACGCAGTAAAAGTACAGCAGGTTCGCCGGGAACGCCACGCCCCACGGCACGACGGCCGCCGAGAGCAGCAGCAGCGGCGCGGTGAAGTGCAGGCACGCGCAGGCCATGCGGGGCGCCGCCGCCGCCGACTTGGCGGCGAAGTACGCCAGCCGGCTGTGCCCGGCCTCGGCCTCGCGGCGGTGCAGCAGCAGTTCCTCGGAGAACACGCGCACGCCCGGCGCGGCGCCCACGAGACCCACCGCGATGGCCACCAGCAGTGCGAGCTCGGGCGCGGAGCGCAGGTCCGACGACACGCTGAGGATCGAGTACGCCCCGCGGTAGCTGCCCGTGAACAGCACGCCCTGCTTCGCGTGCTCGGCGAGCCCTAGGAGGAATCCCGCGAGTGTGGCGAGGCACATCTCGTACCAGAAGGTTGCGACGGCGCGGTACTGCTGGAGCATCGCTCGTGCGAAGCAGAGTTGGGTCTGCCGCCAGAGAGGAGCGCCGCGCCGGCGTAGCAGCCGCTGCATGTTGGCGTGGGTTTGGCTGTTGCTGGTGCGGGCGGTGGCAGAGGCTGGGAACGGGAAGGGGAGCGAGAATCGGGGGTTGGCGGTTATGGTATTGGTGCTGTCGTTAGGGCGGGCGGTTTGTGATACGGCGCCCGTGGCTGGGGCCGCGGTGTGTGGTGAGGACAAAGACGCGGGACTTTGCGGCCGAGACGGTACCGTTGCCTCCATGGTTCTGTCATCGCCATGGCTGCCCTGTCGCGACGCAGACCAGTGGCCGATCAGCGCGTCCTTGGAGATGTCGCCCGTCTTCTTGTACGGGCGTCCGTTCCCGGTGATGATGTCGGTGACGACGTCGCCGTAGTTGGCGTGGGGCGGAAAGTGGAAGCCGAGCTGCTCGAAGAAGGGCTGCACGTCGGCCTCTCGGCCCGCGTAGATGAGCTGTCCGTTGGCCAGCAGGATCAAGTCGTCGAGCATGTCGAAGATCTCCATGCGGGGCTGGTGGATGACGACGATGACCGAGATGCCCAGGCGCGCGAGCGCCTTGAGCGTGCGCATGATGGACGTGGCCGCCGTCGCGTCGAGGCCCGACGTCGGCTCGTCGAGGAAGATGGCCATGGGCGCCGCCGCCAGCTCCATGCCGATGCTGACGCGCTTGCGCTGCCCGCCGCTGAGTATCGGCTTGCTCGCGCTGCCCACCAGGCTGTCGCTGACGTGGCTCAGCTCGAGACAGTCGATGACGGCCGTGACGTGCGCGCAGATGTCCGCGTCTTTCCAGGTGCGCGGCAGCCGCACGCGCGCCGAGTGAAGTAGGTTCTCGCGCACCGTTAGCTCAGGCAGCACCACGTCGTCTTGCGGCACGTAGCCCACCACTTTTTTATACTGCCGCAGCTTGCCCGGCGCGCCATTGATGGTGACGCTCCCTGCCGTGTACTCACTCTTGCCCATCAGCACGTTGACAAACGTCGACTTGCCAGCCCCCGACCCGCCCATGACGGCCGTCAGCGTCCCGCGCCTGATCTCTCCTGTGACGCCCTGCAAAATCGGCCGCTGGCTCCCTTTGGGCTGGAAGGTGAGCTCCGAGAACCCAAACGACAGCCCAAAGTCAGCCGCATCGGTAGCCTTGCTCATTGAGCTGACAAACGCGCGGATCTCAGGCGTGAGACCAGCCTCCGGACTGTTCAAGACATCTATGGGACTCCAAACTGGCTGCTCGGGGATATCGAGCGCCGCCTCGAAGCCGCTCCACGTATCCTGGCGGCCGGGCACGTAGGTGGCGTTCATGACGGGTCCCATCTCGCCGTCTTCGTCCACACGGCCCGTTTCGTCCTGTACGCGCTTGTACCTGTGTCCAGCGATGACGGCCGCGATGCTGCTGCTGGCACTCGCCCGCTGCTTCTCGAGAAAGCCCAGCGACGACACGCCGTGCCCGCGCGCGCTGGCCTTGAGGCGCCGGCGGTGGCGCAGCAGCAGGGTCCCGACGACGAGCAGCACGTCGAGCGCGACGAGGAGGCCGACGGGCACGAGGAACAGCTGGTACGTCGACCCCGGCGGGCACCTGCTGCCGCCCGTGCACGGTGTAGGCGTCGACACGCCCGCCTGGCAGTACGTGCCTGCCGGGCACTCGCGCGTCACGGTTCCGTTGCCCGACGGCGGACAGTACCGCCCCGCCTGGCACACCACGGGCTCGAACGGCCCCATGCCCACGTTGCTGCCGTTGAGCTGGCACACGGTGCTGGCGAGCCGCGCCAGCTGGCATTCTTGGATCGGGGGGCAGTATTGCGGGAGGGAGTTGACCGTGTTGTTCACGCCTGGGTGGTCTCGGTCAGCAATTCGGAGGAGGAGGACGTGGACGGGGTCGCTGCGAGTACGCACACATGAACCCCTCCAGGCACCCCGTCGTCTGCCAGTCGGACACGTTTTGGATCTGAACGGGAACGGCACCGGACCTCCAGCACGGCGCAGCCGCCGTTGGATCCTGGTTGCTCTCCAGCTGCTCGTTTGCCTGATAAAAGGAGGTCGAGAATTC